TGGAAAACCATCAGATAAGTTCTGGAAGAACATCAGAACAAAGATTCAATCTGGAAAACCGTCAGGTAGAGAAACAAATTTGAAAAAACATCGGATAGATTCTGGAAAACCATCATAATCAAAGGAAATATCTGGAAAACCGTCAGATAAGTTCTGGAAGAAACATCAGAACAGAGACTCGATATGGATAACCATCAGATAGAGACACGAGGGTGATATCCAAGAATGCCGTTCGATAAAAGGATACCAGACATCCAATAATGGCTTTGAATGAAAGGTGTAAACACAATATATGAGAAAAGTATTGGACGTAGGAGAAACAGACATATCCAGAAGAACAACCGGATAAGAAAAATGTCATATCTAGAAGAATATCAGATAGACACAACACAAAATTGTTTGGTAGGTGCTAAGTAAGTTGGACTTTAACCATAAGGTAAGACCATGGATAAAACACGACCATCAAGAGAAATGCAAATGAGGATAAAAGACTCATGATATGCATATGTAGATGAATTATGGAGATTATATATGATCAATTGCAAATTCAGATGCCGACGACAAGGCTCGACTCTTGCGGTAAGATGACAAAACTGGAAAACTGATTCCTCAACACAGAGATCAATGTTATTCTGCTCGGGGACTAAAGATGCTACTGCTGATCACATCTCTGCCACACTTCTAAATTATATCAAGTTGACGATCCTTGTAGGAAGGATGAAAAGCCGCCTGGGGATCCTTCAAGTAAACTGCCCCAGATTAAGTCGTCTGCTATAGATGAACTGAAAAATGCTTCAGCTTGTCTAATTCGGTAGATGACTGTTTTACTGTACTCTCGGAAGGCTTGCCCCAGTTTGAGTCTTGAAAAATATTTTAGATAAACCAAATATGAGAAGGCCTGCCTTGAACAAAGATTGAACTGATTCTTCGACAGGATGTAAAAGAAACTTGCCCCTGATAGGATCACTTGACCAAGTTTCTCGATTGTTTAGAAATTCCTTAGAGAAAGCCAGTTTGCAAACAAAAATATTCATACAACCATGGTAATGCAAAGTTCATGCAACTTTTGAAATCAAAATTATTTTTGAAAAATGAAAAATAAATGAGTCGTTGGTCAGAACACGTTGGTTCAGGACGCTCAAAGCTTAAAACAAAGGTGTACTGCCAAAATAAATTATTCACAAAGATCTTTAGGAGTCAGCTCACGCATCCTTGCTGTAATATGCTTTCAAACTAACCCTGCTTCAATTGGGTCTTTTGAGGGTTGTAACGTGGTCTGCTTCACGGTTTAAGAAACAAAGGATAAAGGCTCAAAATTTATTTGTACCCACCCAATCTACGTGATAATCTTCAATCCTACGCTCAGTTAACTCGTATTATGCATTCAGGTTCCTATAGGTTAGGAATTGCACTGACAATAATGACGTTGGTTCAGAAGTCAACATACCTTTTTGAAAAGGCAGCCACTACTTCTCTATAACATTTGGTTGTTTTGACATTGAGGATTTTTAGGATAGGGATTTAAAGATCTCATATTTTTATTATCCCTAACTTTTGCCTGAACTGTTTCTTTTAAAGCTTACAGTCAGTGGGATGCCCCAGTTTTGCCTAAGTCTCCTTCATAGGTTTTGACTTAGCGGGCTTTTTCTTTTGATTTTTTTTTGAAGGAAGTGACTGCCTAACTTAACGATTACGGTGAACCATCATTGGCTTTTGACTTGGAAACATCTTCGACACTTACTTGCTGTGTGCGAAGGAAATTTTTTGAATGAAACCTTTATATGAAAGATGTATTGCAGGAACACAATCAAGTTAATTGAGAACTACCCATGCCCCAGGTTAAGATTGCGGGTTTTTTTGTAAAGAAAGAAACTCACCCATAGCTATGACCTCTCTCCCAATAGCTATAATACGATGAAATATTGATAATACATCAACGACATGGTCTGTCCATCCTCTAAGATCTTCCAATGATTTTGCCTCTAAGGTCATCCTTCTGCATCAGGTTTCATATATGGATGTAACACTCTATAAAACCACTGGTTGAAGCCGTACACTATATTCCATGGATGAGGAGTTGGAATACGACATACATCCTATGAGACCAGATGGTTGTAGTACTCTACAAAAATATCATCAATATCCTTACAGAGGACAGTGGCAGATGCAACAACAATTGAGTCTCTGGGTATACCATACATATACCCAAACTACCGTAGGATTCACTTAGGTAAATGTGGATACATAAGTCGAAACCCATATGTCATCCATCTAAAGTACAAGACTATCACCTCCAAGGACCGTGTCTCAAAGTGCTCGTTATACGATATAAAGCAAGTATCATCCAACATGATGCAGTCAAGATAAACTCTAAACGACTCGGTTGACTAATTCCCTTTGAGCGGGATGGTCGAGCACACATATGGCAAAACCTTAAAGTAGAATTCCATATATGGCCAGCCGATGAGACATTGAAAATTCCGGTGGATCCATGCTTGAAAATGGTTCAGATAAAATATTATTAATAATGTATCATAAATATTATGAAATTTTAATATTAGTAAGGGTGCAAAAATGTTACCGTAAGTAGATAACTGTTTTCTATGAATTGCTGAGTATTCTATAAACAACAACTAACTTGAAACAGAGGTACACCAAATAAGAAACTCTTCCAACTATACTCGTGAATCCTCTATAAGTCAATCAAATGTCTAAGGTAGATAGTGTCGATATAGGTTGCACTTTTGTCCATAAATATGAACGTGTCAACCAAAACCAAGAAGTGTAACCTAAATGCACAAACTCTGTAGTATACAACCCATGCATCATCACCATTAACATCCACAACTGCAACCAGGACGATGTTTATACAGATCCACCAAGAATGATAACCTAGCATGGCATCATTTGATGTCGTATATCTCTTGTTGGGCTTTTCCTGATTCAACTGCCAAATAAGTCACCATCATATCCAGTGCCTTAAATCTATTAGTTATGAAGTAGTTTAATAATTTTCCCATGATTGGAAGATGTAGAAGGCATGATACATCATTAAGTGTGATGGACATCTTACCGATTGTAAAATGAAATGGTGATGCATCTATCGCCATCTCTCCATAGGGATGGCAAACAAACCCGGGCCCGCCCACACCCGCCCGGGCCCGCCCCGAAATTAACGGGGGAAATCCGATTTAATTGGGTGCGGGTGCGGGTGCGGGTGAAACCCGGTTCTTAACTACGGGTGCGGGTGCGGGTGCGGGTAGACACTAAGACCCGCCCGCCCCCGCCCCCGGCCCGCCCCAAATAATATATTTTATTTTGATTTCCTTATTTTATTTATTTTAATATTTATTTATTAATTATACTTTTAATTAAGTTATTAATATTCTTATTGCAATTAAAATAATAAAATTAATCAAGTTAATATTCATTTATTAATTAAAATTTTAATTAAATAATTAATTAATTTATTAAAATAATCAATTTTTTAATTAAATTACTAATTTTTATTATAATTAAAAAAATAATAATTTTTTGCGGGTGGGGGCAGGGCGGGTGCGGGTGCACCCGTTTTCTACTGGGGGCGGGTCTGGGTGGTAAATTTTCACCCCCGATTGGATTTGGGGGCGGAGGCGGATCTGTTACATGGAGGCGGGTGCGGGTGCGAGTATAGTTAAACCCGCCCCCGACCCGCCCCGTTGCCATTCCTATCTCTCCACAAAAGCTGACAATAACCCATGGTTAATATACCATATCCAGTCTCACATAACTCCTGCATCCCAAATAGCAAGACATCCTGAAACCATGGTTCATCAAGTTGCGCCAGCTTTGCGAGCTTCATACCGTGGCTGATACATTTTAACGTATCACGTTACTGCAAAAAGTAAATACATCCATCGTTAGACAATTCAAATATTGTAACACAGATGCCTAAAAGAGTAATTAAACATTTATGCTACCCCCACGTGCCTAGCAGTATAAACTGGATAGTGAGGAAGCAATGAAAGGCCTGAAGGCCTTCCAGGAAACCATCAAGCACAACAACATTTGGGGCAGCGAGAGATTTTAAGACAAGATGGGCTCTTGCGACAACAGGGGACACATGAATTCGAGAAGATGATGTCGAAGACACATGAACCTTGGAAGACGACCCCTCGTCAGTAAACAAAGTTTCTCAAACTACAAGTCGTAAGGGTCTAATTTTCTTCATACAAATGAAAGCATTTTGAGTCACTCTACCATGTCTCAGTCATTTTTTATTGTTAGACATTTTTCCTACAATCAAATAAGCACAAAAATATGTCATAACAAAGTACTGAAACAAAAAACAACGAAGTAGAACCAACGCAAAAACAAACTAATAAAAAAATGGATAACATGAAACTCCAGACTTTCTTATCCGTACTAATGGTTTAGATTTTAAAATTTAGACTACACTGAACCAAATATACGAAGTAGAAATAAAGTATGCACGAAATCTAAACTCTAATGTTATGCATTTCAAAGCAAAATAGTCCAAGATAAAAAAAAAATACATCTCTATTACATTTAAGCCTAATATATCATACCTATAAATTACTTAGATGATCCATACATGTGAAATTAAAAATAAAAATAAAAAGAATGAATAACTTACCAATGCAATGAGAATGTGAAGGGAAAGAGAAACACAAAAATACTTAAAAAGAAGCATCAAGATTTCAAACTCCTAACAAATCTAAAGATTGAAATTTGAAATATTTTAAAATTGTGTCATTTTAAGATTGAAACTTATATATGATGGGTTATCAATTCCAAAGTCAAAGAGTTTTTATTTTTAACTCTAGTTTTAGAGTGTTTTGAATAAGATTTATTGTGTATTAAATGCGCATGGGTTTTAAAATTTTGTGTGTGAACAATTCGGATCTTGTTCATTTTGAAGCCCATATTGATAGGTCTGTTTGCCGTGACAGAGAAGCACGGTAACAAACAAGCTCCGCCTCCGTCAGGCGGACGGAACAATGCGTTGTCCAATTCATCTTTCATCTTCAACAACTCGCCTCCCTCGATTTCGCTTCACACCCTTCCAAACCCATTCCTCTTTTCACAATAACAACTTCATCACACAAAACCCTAATCCCAATCCCGTTCCCGTTCATATTCCCGCTGTTGATCACACCACCGTTCACCAAACCCTAACCTCCTTTAACAACGACTGGAAACGCGCACTCGAATTCTTCAATTGGGTAGAAACCGAATTCAAATTTCATCACTCCACAGAAACATATAACCTAACCCTAGACATTCTCGGCAAATTCTTCGAATTCCAACAATGCTGGAATTTAATTCACAAAATGCGCAACAATCCTCACTCTTTCCCCAATCACACCACCTTCCGCGTCATGTTCAAACGCTACATTTCCGCTCACTGCATCGACGATGCAGTCACCACTTTTCAACGTCTCAATGAGTTCAATTTGAAAGACGAAACATCTTTCCATAACCTCATTGACGCTCTCTGTGAATATAAACACGTTCTCGAAGCTCAAGACTTGGTTTTCAGTAAGAAAAAGACTCTTAATTTAGCTTGGAATGTTGATGGGGTTGTGAGTAGTAATAATACTAAGATCTATAATATTGTTCTTCGTGGTTGGTACAAATTGGGATGGTGGAGTAAGTGTTGGGAGTTTTGGGATGAAATGGATAAATTAGGGGTTCAAAAGGATCTACATTCATATTCTATTTATATGGATATTTTGTCTAAAGGTGGAAAGCCTTGGAAAGCTGTGAAATTGTTTAAGGAGATGAAGAGAAAAGGTATTAAATTAGATGTTGTTGTTTATAACATTGTGATTAGAGCTATTGGTGTTTCTCAAGGTGTTGATTTTTCGATTAGGCTATTTCGAGAAATGAAGGATTTGGGTTTTAGTCCTACTGTTGTTACTTATAATACAATCATTAGGCTTTTGTGTGATAATTATAGATATAAGGAAGCTCTCACATTGCTTCGAACTATGCGTAGTAATGGTTGTTCTCCTAATGCCGTTTCTTATCAATGCTTTTTTTCTTGCCTTGAGAAACCGAAGTTTATAATTGAATTGTTTGATGGGATGATTGAAAGTGGGGTTCGTCCTACTATGGACACATATGTTATGCTCCTCAAGAAGTTTGCAAGGTGGGGGTTTCTTCGATTGGTTTTTCTGGTGTGGAATAGAATGGAAGAACTTGGATGTAGTCCCGATGCGTCTGCTTACAATGTTTTGATTGATGCTCTCGTTGAGAAAGGGTTGATAGACATGGCTAGGAAGTATGATGAAGAGATGTTGGCTAAAGGACTTTCGCCGAAGCCGAGGAAAGAGTTGGGAACAAAGGCTTTGGGAGGAGAACTTGTTGAGGAATAGGTCCTTCATTTTGAGACAGAGTTGGGAACAAAGAGTTGGGACTTTCCCTGTTTCTGATATCAGGAAACTTAAGCCACCTTCACATTTCAAGTGACATTTGTTAACCTCAAACTCAGTTCTTTTCTTATCCTTGCAAAATTTGTTCTCATTTGGTGGACCTTGTTTCCAAAATACTATACAGATTTGAACTGGTTTGAGAAATGTCAAATCTTAGTGCAAATATTAAGAAACAACCAGAGAGAACAGAAAAACTAAACTCATACATGCTGTGTGATGAGACCTTACTTCATTTGTCTTCTTCACAAACCTATGGTTTATTAATTGGATTGAGCTTACTAAACCAATGTTTATTGCTCGAACATAGGCACACATAGCAGTAGGCCAAACCTAAGCTATAGTTATTAAACAGGACACAACTTATTTCCTTGTAGCGTGCAATGGGAGGGGCTGAGCAGGTTTACTTTGCGTTTGAAGCACTGGCCTGTAGGGCTGTCAAGCACCATTGATGGGCAGATGGAAGTTTAAGGATGGTTGCGGGTCTCCCATAGCTCCAACAGGCAACTGTTATCGGCTGCAGAAGTCATAGTGTTGTCACAACTAGTTTTCTGATGCTTATTTTGTGAGTTGTTGGTATCAGTAAGTATTATCATATCATGTACTATCTGGGAAGTTGATAATTTCATTTCAACAAGGAATGCATTTGGCTCAGGATTAGGAGGTTTTCAACTGGTAATGGATTTGCTCATATGCAAGTGACTTGGCTCCAACATCTTTCTTGATATCTTGTGATATAATAAATCCGATACATTTATATATTAAACACTACATGAATCAAGTTTATATATTAAACACTACATGAATCAAGTTTACGTCTTCTTAAGTGTTGTAGCTTTAGGTTTAATTTTTCATTTGTTATTGAGCTTTAGGTGTTAGTTTTTCATTTGTAGTTGATTTTGCTCGATTTGGACCTCTACAACTTCAGAAAGATGGAAATAATTCTCAATGGTCAAATTTCAACATTACTCCAAACAAATGGAATAATTCCAAACACTACATGATTCGACTTTCGACTTCTGACAAGTCAAACATGCATACACAAATCGTGCTACATCACGCTTCATACCAGGTCACCCAAAACAAATTCCTCAAATCACTATACATTTTCGTCGCTCCTGGATGAATACTCAACTTACTTCTGTGACTCTCTTCCAGAATCGCCTTCTTCATATCTGCACTATTAGGAATACAAATACGACCACGAAATCTCAACACGCCCTGCACATCCAACTGATAATCATTATTTTCCGAATGGTCTACTCCAGGCATTAAATCTACTAACTTCACATCTAATTTCGGAGCCTCTCTGATGCTGTCCAGAAAATCATTATTAATCTTTAACATGCCCAACTTTACACTCTTCGGTGTTACTTCGCAAATTAAACTCAGATCTCTGAATTGCTCAATCAATTTCAACTCTTTAGCCATCATTGCTGACATATGCAAAGTCTTGCGGCTTAAGGCATCAGCTACAACATTAGCTTTTCCCGGATGGTAATGTAAACTAAAATATAATCTTTTAATAGTTCCAACCACCTTCGTTGTCTCATGTTCAGTTCCTTTTGATCAAACAAGTACTTCAAACTCTTATGGTCACTGAACACTTCGAATCTTGAACCATAAAGATAATGCCTCCAAATCTTCAGCACAAACACAACAGCAGCAAGTTCTAAATCGTGCGTATGATAATTCTTCTCGTGGATTCTCAACTGTCTTGAAGCATAAACAACTACTTTATTATTCTGCATGAGGACACCTCCTAAACCAAACTTAGAAGCATCGCAGTATACCACAAACGGTTCTTCTGCATTAGGCAAGGTCAACACCGGAGCAGACGTCAACCTCATCTTTAACTCTATAAAACCTGCTTCGCATTGAGCATCCCACACAAAGGTTTTCCCTTTACAAGTCAACTTAGTTAACGGAAGGGCCAACTTAGAAAAGCCTTCAATAAACCTTCTGTAATAACCAGCAAGTTCCAAAAAGCTTCTAATTTCCGTTGCCGACTTTGGAGTTTCCCATTGCAACACGACATCAACCTTAGATGGATCTACAACAATTCCACTACCAGATATAACATGACCCAGAAAGCTAACTTCTTCCAACCAGAAGTCGCACTTCGACAGTTTCGCAAACAACTTCCTTTCTTTCAACACTTGCAGTACTAACCTCAAGTGCTCAACATGCTCCTCCTTCGATTTAGAATAAATTAAGATATCATCAATGAATACTACTACAAACCGATCCAAATACTCGTGAAAGATATGGTTCATGTACTCCATAAAAACTCCCGGCGCATTAGTAACACCAAAAGGCATTACCATAAACTCATAGTCTCCATATCTAGTTCTGAACGTCGTCTTCTGAACATCATCATCTTTTACCTTAATCTGGTGATACCCTGACCTCAAATCAATTTTACTAAACACCCGCGCCCCAACCAACTGATCCATCAAGTCATCGATTCTGGGAAGCGGATATTTATTCTTAATTGTTACTTTATTCAGTTGTCGGTAATCAATACACAACCTCATACTACCATCCTTCTTCTTTACTAGTAATACCGGAGCTCCCCACGGCGATACACTTGGTCTAACGAACTTCTTCTCAAGTAAGTCTTCCAACTTTTTCTTCAACTCTGCCAATTCAGATGCAGACATCCTGTACGGCGCTATAAACACAGGTCTGGTACCAGGTACAAGATCAATAGAAAATTCAATTTCCCGTTCCGGAGGAACTTCAGGAATTTCATCTGGAAACACTTCCGGAAAGTCACAAACAACTTCTAACTCATCAACTATCGCTTGATTCTCAACGGATAATGATGCCACCAACGCAAACACCTGAGTATCTCCTAGCAATATCTGCTTCATCTGTTTCGTAGTTATCAAACGGGCTCCCTCCTCCTCAGGCGTAGAAAACCTCACCGACTTATCAAAGCAATTAATATGAACGCAGTTATACTCTAACCAGTTCATACCTAAAATTACGTCCATCCCACTTAGTGGCAAACAGACTAAGTTAACCAGGAAATCTCTATCAAACATTGACAGAGGACATTTCAAACACACCAGAGATGTAGTCACTGATCCCTTAGTTGGAGTCTCAACTACCATCTCCCCATTCATGTGAGATAACACAAGGCTCAAACGTTCAACACAATCAGCAGCAATGAAACAATGAGAAGCACCAGTGTCAATAATAGCAAGTAAAGGAGTACTATTAATGAAACAAGTACCTTCAATCAGCCTGTCATCGCTGGACGTTTGAGTTCCAGTTAGAGCGAACATTCTTCCACCAGTCTGTTCTTTGTTAGGCTTCTGACACTTTTCACGCATGTGTCCTTCTTCGCCGCAGTTAAAACAGACTATTTCCTTGCGCTTGCTGGTCCAGAGTTACATCTCGCTGGTCCAGAGTTACATACATTACTCTTATGACCAGGCTTCCCACACTTATAGCAAACAATACCAGCAGGAGCATCTCCCCTACTAGTTTTCTTACCGTCGATTGATCTCTGTTTCCCTTTTCCAACTGGAGGGTCATAAGGCTTACCACGACTCTGCTGCAGCTTGCCTCTCCTCTCGCTCAGTAGCTTGTAGTGAGCATTGCTATCTTCTTCAAAGATTCTACAACTTTCAACCAACGAGTCGAAGACACGGATCTTCTGATATCCAATTGCCTTCTTGATGTAAGATTTCAATCCATTCTCAAACTTGATGCATTTAGAGAATTCAACAGTCTCTGCGTTGTAGTGCGGATAAAACTTGGCCAACTCTTTAAACTTCGCAGCATACTCAGTAATAGATCTGTTTCATTGCTTCAACTCAAGAAACCGAATCTCTTTCTTTCCACGGACATCTTTCGGGTAATATTTCTTCAGAAATTCCCTACAGAATATAGTCCAAGTGATTTCCTTACCTGTAGCTTCCAATATTGGATGAGCTCCTAGCCACCAGTCATCAGCTTCGGCTGCTAGCATATGAGTCCCATAACGAACCTTCTGTGTTGGAGTACAATCCATCACACGAAAGATTCGCTCCATTTCCTTCAACCACTCCAACGCACCATCAGGGTCATGCTTACCCTTGAAGGTAGGTGGATTCTCTCGTTGAAACATTGCCAAACTGCGAGATCCAGCATCTCCAGCAAGATTCAGATGATGTTCCATAGCATTAGCTAAAGCTTACAAAGCAGCAGTAATCGCAGCATCATTCCTTCCAGCCATTTCAACTCAACTGCAACGAACAACGGTCAGATCTTACAAACAACGATACTCGATTATTAGACACGACGACTGACTCGATAACTTGGTCGAATGGAACGACCTGCTCTGATACCACTAATGTAACACCCCAACTCTAACACTTGCGGATAACAGGAAAAACAACAACTCATATAACAAACAGAGCACAATAGCATAAAAATTGCACGCATGACGATCGTAATGAAGGTGTGACGGTCGTCACACGTCCAAAATTCTTCATACCAGAGATGTTACATTCAACTGAACAGACAATATGCATTTATGCAACCACATTCAAATAACATACATAGCACGAAATTGGATGAACAATCAACAATGTATTACTTAACCATTTAATCATAAAACAACTTGTCATTACTTCCGGCGGAAGTTAATAAGCTTGCAACGGTTCAATTAAAATAATGCAGTAAAAGTTCTTCACAAAGTTTTAGCAACAAGAACATCAACTAAAGCAATAATATAAATCGTGCATCCCCCCCAAGAGTGCTATGTATCAGAGCGACCAACGACACCTTAACGGCAAAGCGAAAACTCTATTCCGGGCTACCTGCAAATTACCACCAATGGCGGTAACATACAACGTAAAGGGGTGAGATATCAACAACATAACATAAGGCATGATAAAAGTCATGTTAGAATTATATCACAACAATTAAGATTCTCGCGGATTTATAATTAT